TTAACAATTATTCCACGAGCGCGCGTTGGATATGAGATGATAGATAGCCAACGAGGCGCGTAGCGCCTCGTTGGCTATAATCATCTCATATCCAACAAGCGCGAGTGGAATAATTGTTTTATCAAAAAAAAAAACGCCCACAAGATATTAGACAAATCTCGACTTTATTTTTGTAGGAAGAAACCGGATGTCACAATGTACAGATGTTAGATCATGGTAAATTGGCTCATATACCATAATGGCTAAGCCAATAAAAAGTCTTGAATTGCATTATCCAATGATCTAGTTTTTAATAATAAGATATATGTATAGGTCACGTGGGAAAAGAGAGCATTTTAGTATTTGAATCAGTCACTTATGCCGAAAAGGGCCGCTAAATTTGCGAACCGACCAAGCACCTTGAGTTATTCAATAGAATGATGGAACGGGGGAACGGTGGAAGATGAGAAAATTATTTACAATAAACAGGCGAAAATTAAGCATAGGTAATCATTGTTGGAGCTCAAAGGAGGCTTTCGAGCAAGCGCCTTCAAATTATTCTTTTGTCACTATGTTATCATTGTCGTTACTGTTATTATTATTGTTACTATCTAATTATTAGTTGAATGTCAATTAGACAATATATTCTGGAATCATCTTTTTCTTGTGGAACGAAAAAGAACAGCCACCAAGGAAAGAGACAGACCGACCTAAACTGCACCTAAATCTTCCCCCAAACACCTAAATATACAAAGAACATCCCATGAAAACCCCCAGCCATCTCAATAGTTCAGTAGTCCGAATATCAATTTCACTGATTCATCGTCACAAATTACATACTCTCAGCTAACAGTTACCATTTTTGCACATACTCACTATCCAATAAATCATACAATATTCACAACTTCCCTAATCAATGTCCTCATTTGTACTTTCGTCAGTTTTATTGTCAAGAAACTGTATCGTGTCATAATTTCACTCAAATTCGTTCATCTAGACAAATCTATTTTTAATTACGCTTCATTATTCTTTTGATAGTTTGATATTCCTCAAAAATAATCAGCAAAATGAAGAGAAAATCAAATTTTCGTTTTAGCTAAGCTAAACAGTTTGAGTTGGAAACGCTCAAAGGACACTTACCTAAAGTAATGCTATTTGAGCATATTTTTCAGAGAATAAAATGATTTATGGCTAAGGCAAATATTTTTAACCTCTTGGAATTGCTTCTTCATGCCTGACCTTTAGGGAAACAATGCGAAAACAAAACATATTGACAGGAGGCATACCTCCCGGAAAGTGTTCAATTTACTTTAGTGTTAAGAGTAGATAAAGGCACTAGGATGTAAGATTACTGCTCAGATTGAAAACAGGAAAGAAACCTGAAAACATTGAAGAATGGTTATATCATTCCTCACATAAAAACCGTGTGTTTCTTCTTAATCGCAGGTAGTCGAGTACAATTTGGTGTTAATAACTAAGCACGATAACTTTTTGGAATAAGCTTTTCGTGATCTTTGAAAAAATTTACAAGTACCTATTTACACCAAATTTCACTCAAAATCACGTGATCACTTATAAATAATCTTTTTTATGAAAAACTATCACAGGCCCAGTTCAGACGTCGTGTTCCGGCCTACCGTGTCTAACTCAACTCAGAAATTAGGTTCGACGAAGGCACGACAGAAGAACAGCGTCTGAATTAAACTTTTTAATTAAGTTCGGCAAGCAATAAGTTCGATAAGCTCTGCCGTGATACTCATTGACTTTTTTGGTAATTCCGCTGAACCGCGTATAAGGCTTTCATATGTTCAATTTCTGAGTGGGCTCAAATTATAGCTGGTAATTGGCTAACAATTTAACAGTTTTGACAAATGACGCTTACTTAACTCAGATCAGCAAAATTTACTGATGGCTGTAAAATGACTGCTTGCATACGCTTTGCGGTACATATTGGATATATAAGGTACATATTGGCGGAAAGAAGGGAGCTCTCTATACCTAGTTATTAAATATTGAGGAGTATAATTTATGAAAAAAGGAAAGAAACGCCAACCAAAAGGAATAGCAACAAACAATCATTATTGCGTGGCGTTTCCTTTGTCGTAAAGTTTCACATCAGTTAGAGTGGTCGCGACGACTTGTATTTCTTATCCCACAATCAAGTCTAATTCCAGCGAGTCTTATCAAAGACGTTTATTGCTAGTTCTTCGGAACACTTTGCCGCAAAAAAGAGGGATCATTACCTCAGCTAGCATCGCATTATGAAAATATTTATTTCATCCTATTAATATCATTCGTTTGTTCAATTTTTATCTACCCAAAGCGAAAATCAGATTGATGTGAAGATTATGCAAATCATCTTATATTTCTATTTTAAGTGTAACTTTAGATAGAAACGTGCAGAAGTAATATGTGTAAAAATTTCACTCGGTAGGCGATTGCACTCAAACGGTTAAGATCGTAACTTCTGATCGAAGTGCCGTTTAAATGATTCTTTAGGCATAAATAACTCTAATAGGCTCAGACCAAAATTATACTATCGGTGCATAGTTCGTTTCCAAGAAGACCATTTTTGTCTTACTGTCAGGAACGAGTTTCGAAAATGTACATTATTTGTCGACCGGCTGCCCTCAAATTACGCTTAAACAACAACAAATTTTTATGTTTTTATCTTCTTCAATCCTACTTAAATAGGTCTGTGTAGAAATATTGCTTGGACTTATGTATAATACCGCGACGAAAATGCACCGCTGGAAGCCACGGCGCCAATGGCAAGAAGGCGTCAAAAATTATTTTTTTGATTAAATCTCAGTTGACAAACTAAAAAAAATGTACTTTACTGAAACGAGGAATTTATCTAGCCGATAGAAAAGAAAAAATCCTCAAGTTATTTTACAAAATTGCCAAATGACCAGAGTGGTCATTTGGCAGTCCAATTGTCTAAATGACCAGAGTGGTCATTTGGACAATTACGACTATCAAAACTGGGCCTTCAAGGATTTGACAATGTTAACCTCTGAAAATACTGAAAAAAGATAGACAGTCAAAGACTGCAAGTGGCTGCCGGTATATCACAATTTTTATAGCATTGAAAAGAACTATATGTTACATAATTATACATAATGATTGCGATGATGCATGGTGTTGCGAAATACTTCTCTCATATGCAAAACAGAAACTCTGCCGCATCCCAAATATTTATGAGTACACTGTTCCACAAGAACAAGATGATTCAAGAATATATTGTTTAATTTACATTCAACGAAAAATTGAATGGTAACAAATAATACTATCAACAATAATAATAATGATATAAAAGTAAAATAATAATAATTTAAAGGGGCTTGCTCGAAAGCCTCGTGTTCTCCAATACTATGGGCCTCCAAAATGATTATCTATGCCTCTTTAATTTCGCCTGTTAGTTATATATAATTAGCATAGCTTATTACAATTCCATTTTTCAGACCTTTGTTTCATACAACAAGGCACTCTGTGGTTTAGGATATTCCTTCATTCGGCGTCTAAAGATATTCTGCCATTCCGCCGATCCACCGTTTCTCCGTTCAGTTATTCTGTTGCAGAGCTAAGTTGCATTGCTAAGTCGCTAATTCAAACAGTAAAATGCTCTCTTCTCAAAGAAAACAAGAATTCCTTGAAGCTTCCATGATGTGCGAATAACATCTATTGAGAAATTTCTGCTCATATGAAAAGTTTTAATTTAAATCATGCGTCGATGGATGTCGCTATGAAACTATTTTGAGATGTTAATCGTCTTTAGTAGTGTCCTGGCAACAATTGAAAGATTATATCTTCGGATCTACATAATTTGCTGATTTAACCGGTAAAATTCTCTCTCCTAATAGAAAAAACTTTTCCTCAAAGTTTCACGATGCGCCGATTGTTTGTTTAATAGCGCACAATCCTGAAATGATTGTGAGATGTTTATCGTCTTCTGCTGTCTTCTGTAGTGTCACAGCAAGAAATGAAAAACATAATTTTCTAATGACTATGAGCCAGAACTCACAAAAGGGGAGCACTCAACTGTGAATCAAGTGCGAATCTTGAGCTACTAAGATGCTCCGAAAAGAAACAACAACAAAAACTAGCACCGGAAAAAACTGGATCAAAATCGGTTCGAGATCGGAATTCTATTGTTACACTCACTCACTCATCTCGAAGGTATATCATGATGGCTTCGCTTCCTTTAGGAGGCAGTAGCTGCAAAAATTCTAAGCAAAGTGTGCAAAAAACCAAGGTTGTATTGGTGACCACTCGACTAAGAAATATCTTTGACCAAAGTTTGAAAAATATCGATTTTCCTGAACTAAAATGCAGCGGAATACATCTCAACCCTGTTTACACAGAACAAGCCTTTGGTAGGAGTGTAAAGTTTCGGTTAGGATGAAAAATAAGCCAAGCTAGCAAAAGAAAAGAAATCAATTATCAGATTATAAAAACCTTCACCCATCACCCCCTTCGACTGATTGAAGGAGTGGCAGTTTCAAATAAACGTCACCAAACAGCATAACCATTGGCTAATCAGTTTGATGTCATTGTCACGTGCTTATCGTACGAAAGACGCTCACAGAATGCCACGTGGAAGAAAAGATTTGCCTGTAGGTCGCACGTGGTCTCACTACGTTATACCAACTCAGAATATTTTCGTATAGAAGTGCCAGAAGGACGAATCCCGTCGAGCACTGTCAAACCGAATTGCTGTGACTGTAACATAGCTTCAATATTACAGGTATTTCAAAGAAAACGAAACTACTGCTCCCTAAGAAGGTTAGATGCGACGAACGTTGTCGATTAAAGCGATGCGAGTATCGCTTAGTCGAAAGATGTTTCCTGCATAACATAAGTTTTTCGTTTAAAATATTCGGTCAAATATCAAATTATGGCAAAGTTGCGGGACCAAGCCCGCATAAAAGTGAACATGTTTTATCGACTGTCGCTGTTGAACAAAGAAAACATCGCAAATCCTTTTCATTCGCGAGTCGTCGCTCCTAAGACATATTTAATGTTCAGGAATAACCATACAAGTATGTAGAAATCGAGAATTACTCGACATAACAGATTCATTGCCATTTCGAGACAGCCTCAAAGGATATGCTACGAACGTAGTCGGTGAAACCAGCGCGGTTTAAATCATGTCAGAAGAAAAGCGAGATTCGGCATTCATGATGACAGATTCTCATTAGCATTTCGAGAGAGCCTTAAAAAAGGTAAAATATGTTTATTCCTTTAGAGTGGCCTGCACTGTGCAGGCGTTTTATTGGGGCCAGTGGACGTTAAAAAGCGCAATAAAATTAAAAACGACGGCTATAATTTTCGCAAGGAAGATCTAATAAAATACTGGGCATTCGCTGGCAAAAATTGCACCTGCACTACAGGCTACCTTTATAGCAGAAAATTTATCAAACAATGTGTTTTTTTTTTATACATTCACACACTATCAATTCAAACAAGGGAAACACCTAATATTATCGAGTGAAACAGAGACCTAGGAATAACTTTATGCTCACGTAGCCACAAAATAATGGTCTATCAAGCATAAATGAAAACCCCAGGTGACGACACTAGACGTAAAAGGTAGCTAGCGATTTGGAAAATCAATTTCAGTTACCTTGCTGTTTTTTCACTGCACGTGTGTGATTTTGATTATTTACGTAAAGTAAAAATACAGAACTATAGTAATATCAGGAAACTTCAAAACACTCTTTTTATCCTTGATGATGTAACTTTTGGATTTCCTCACACCCGGAATATGTCTCATGTCTTATTCGCTGCCTTCCCTATTAATAGTACCAGCTCTCAGTAAGTGCTCCGATTGTTGTTGTCGTAGCTTTCCGTATCACTTCTTTCATGACTCTGCACTAATGATAGAGAAGAGCAGCAAAGGTTATCTTTGCGTTGGATTCGTGACATCACATTCACTTTGGCAGGGCGGATTAAACCGTGAAACGATGTTTGTAGGGAAGACCAGGCTATTCCCCGACTGAAAACTAAAATTATTTGGATTAAAATCCTTCAAGGATGGTCATTGGAAAGTTTCACGAAATGAGTTGATTAAAGTAGTTATCATTGACTAAACAAAAGCGGCGAGACGTTGAGTAACACATGATCGGCATGTGTTAAAATGTAGTTTCATGTATTTCAGTTGGCCATGAGCTACGAAGAAGCCGTAAGACAAAATCAAGAGGACACTAACATGTGAAGGATCAAGCAACGTAGGTTTTTAATTGTTTACTCAAGTAGTTAAAGCTTCTCTCTTCTTGCTATACGTTAATAATAATTCCACGATTTATTAGAAGGTAAAAAAGTCAAACATTGTATTTTTCTTATATGGATTTGGCCGGCTATAATCAGTTCCCTCGTAGATGAAGTTTATCGTTTGAACGGTTAAGTCAAGGTTTTAACCTTTTTTAATGCCTGTTAAATTAAGGCATTAATGCAGATGCAAGCCCCTTCAAACCTCACGTATACCCATTTCATCAACGATTCAAACGAACCGTCAGAAAAATCGATTACTGTTTGTTTCTTCCACTTCTATGAAATTGAAAGTATTTTGAAATTTAAATTTATTTTGCGACAAGCGCAATATCTGTAGTATGAATAATTTCCTACGTTTCATAGTTTTAAAAGAAAAATTCGTGTCAAAACATTTCCTTAGTCAAAGTGATCGCCTTTAATTTATGCACCACAAACCGACCGTGCAATATTACATCAAAATCGCCGTTCGATCGTGAATATTTCACAATAATAAACGAAACACCAAAACAGAATTTTTTGTCATCACTATAAATAGTATTTGGGCCTCGTCGAGTAGCAAAAATTGGGATAAAATACATTAAAAAAAAAAAAAATATATATATATATATATATATATATGTTCCGCGACACGAATCTGCGAGCATTTTAAGCGAGTTTTATACGGATGTATAGTACGTATTCCGTCGCTTGTATTTATCAATCGCTTTTATATTCCTTTGAACGTGTCGACTTATGTTTCGAACTAGTTTCCATAACCATAACATCATCATTTCAACGAAGCGAAGCGAAGAATAGAGAAGTGATTACGTAAGCATCTTTATTCCTTGATTTGTTTGTTTTTGAACCATGCTGTACCTGCTATTAAGCAACTGATATCACTGCAAAGCCTGCCACAACAGCGAAGAACGCAAAGCAAGTAAAACACGATGCTTTGACTATATATGCACATTTTGTTCCAGAGGAAGGTTGGTTTCGTAGGCAGAAAGTGTACGACGGCCCTGCACCTGAGGAGTGCGCGACATTCGGCAGACTATAAACGAAAATTTGTGAGACACTTACAGTTTCCACTGGATTTTTCTCAGATTGAACCCAAATTCTTTGCCCGCCGCACCTAGATATATTTTCTGTCATCAATTCGGCTGACTTGGTTTGTCTTTGAATAGCAATTACGTATTTTCATCATACTTGCATCATGTGACCGATAATTTTGAATGTTGTTTGCAGAAAAAGCCAATAAATCGAACCCATATACGGGTTATGTATCATTTACTTAACGTGGTTAAGAAGTAACTTAATGTGAGCTTTGAACTTAACTCCGTATTCGAAGCCTATCTGTTAGATAACCTTTCAACCTCGAGAATTCACTTTTTTTATCATGTACTTCAATGTTTGAGAATACGGTAGAATGGTCAACGTATCAAATGCTATTGACATGATTTTTTTTCCAATAAAATGACCATGAATATTCTTTACAGTATTAGTTCAGCAAAAGATCATCACATTTGATTTCACTAAGAACGTAATGATTTAAATAGCTGAAACAGTAACAACTATGCCGTCGCAATTTCAATAGAATATTTCTGTTCCGTTTTGTTCCACAAAGAAGATCAACCAAAAAAAAACATGAAACAGGGAGATAAGAGTATCATACCCGTAACCGTTGGATCAAGCCAAGAATGAGTAATTTAACAGACAGTAATAAGGTGAGCAGTACAAAGCAGGTAAAACCATAATTGGCTTTGAAGAGTCGCTCTAGAAAGCGAAAAACTGCCTTTCGAAAAGGACAACGGCACGCATTCGAACGAATCCAGTTTTCCAGTACATTCAGTTATCTGAGAAGTTTAGAGCTGAGTACCACTGATAGATAAATCCATTTTAATACTGTTGTAGACTTGCCTGCTTAAAAAGTGCTGTGATATGCCAATTAACAGTTTTGACCGATATGAATATTTATTCACAACTGTGTGTTCTGAGACCGCACAATTGGTATAATTGCACCACAAAATTGATACTAGGATAGGATAGGATAGGATAGGATAATTTTATTTATACACGGTTTTTCCATCATTTGATTTAGTTAATTCTATACTAGAAACCTATCTATCTAACTACAATGATAATTTGATAATAACAATTCAAATAAAAGAAATAAATAAAAATTCTGCTTTTCATGGAGGCCATGTCTAACCCTTTACTTAGAATTAAGATCTTACCTTAACTCACCAAGTTTAGTATCTAATAGGAATCCACATGTAATATTTCTGTTCGATGTGATTTACTTTCACTAGGAATCAGAGAATCATAAAATCCTGAGAAAAATAAAAATACTTGCATATGTTAAATTATCACATTCGCAATATTTCAAACTGGTAATCAAGAGATTGAAATAGCATTCATAGTCCCTTCACCTCCCCTCTCCTTCTTTTGGACCATCGCTCATACCCCTGGTACAAATTTTTTTCTCTCCCCAGCCTTCCGCTGCTGTGAAAATCAGACATGGAGGCTACAATTTTTATCCAAAATAATACTGAACACTCGCCCGACAAAATAGGCCATTTTACAGCTGTGTACTTAGTTGCCAACCTTTGATTCAGAGTGAGGCCTAAGGTGACCTTGTTGTGATAGAGACCAGTATCTAGTTAGCATGATAACAAACTGATTTACATTTGAAAAGCAGCAAGGTTTGTATCATAACATGTTCACCTCTAGCCTCACTCCTGCTCAAAGGCTTGGCAACCAAGCACACAACTGTAAAAGGGACTATTACGCCTGCCCTGTACGCTACTGCGAGACCAGATTGGCCTGGTACCAAATTTGACCACTGAATTTTCACCAAAATCAATAAAAATGCTATCTATCCTGGGTAAAAGAGGGAACTAAGATAAAAAACGAAAACCTAGTTCATGTTCTTATTTTAGTCCTTTTGATTTAATTTTTTTAATTAGTTGATAAACAAACAAAATGCCACTTTGAAAAAGATCCTATTTGAAACCACTGTGCCATTGACGATGCTTAGGTCTACCAAGCCAAGAAAGATTAGTAAGAACTTCGATGAAACGAATTTGAGAGAAAAGTGTGCTATCTTCACATTATATACTGTGTACAAAGAAGTAAAAAGCAGGGTGTTTTGTCAAAATATCTAATTAATTTTCTAACGTTCATGGATCAAGCTATTGAATGTTGGGAAAATATCTATCGTTTGAGAATAAAACATCCCAAGAAATGAAGCAACATAAAAGTCAGACTGTTTGAATAACTTTGAAAACGAAAAATAAATACTTACACTAAAACAGTTGTAACCTCATTACCATAACGCCCATGGATAGATGTTCCAACTGAAATAAAGAAAAGAATAACTTGGACTTTAAATGGAAAATATTATGATGTTAATAATTAAAAGATTTCGACTGACTGTTGACATTCAGCAGGTCAAAGAAACGTCCAGGGTTGTTATCATTCATTGTTTATTTTTATTTTGGGTCAATTCTTCTGTTCTCTAGTTTTGACGATTTAGCATTCATTCACCTCTTAAAAACTATTTCGTGGTGAAATTAACTCTCCAAGGGCTTTCCTCGTATCTCGTTCAATGATTTATCTGAGAACTTGTTGATGACACGCTGGAAAGTTATTCATATGCTAACGAAACCTCAAATAAAGATACTTTCGAAACACCTTAGTGTGCATAGACGAAGTATTAACAAGTAGCGGCACTAATAAGATGACGTGACAAAAGCTGCTCATTTTCCTTCTGTTCCTCTCCAGTGCTGATAATCAAATCTACAATTACGCATTCTTGGCGGGAAAAAAACCGTTTGCTAGCTTTCTTGCAAGCAGTCAGTATTTTTTTTATCAAACGGAAAGGCCCTTTTTATTCATTATTGTCATCATCAAAATGCAGCACAGCTGGTCGTGAACCTTTATTATACATCCCCATCTTGAGCCGTGTTTCGTATCTCTTAGGGGGGGTCTCGCTGAACGCGCCGGAGATACGTTGATGGAACATCAGCTTTGCAGAGCAGGGCTTATGCTAAGTAATAGGGCCTGTTAAACATGGAGCTGGGGAACCCTAGATTGGTAAGGTAACCCGCCTGTCCGTATAATCCCAGCTTTTATCTTGATTGATTTTACATGATAGGTGGGGTAACCCGCTTAGGCGGGTTGTCTGTTCTACCGGGTAGGGTAACCATGTCCGCCAGGGTCGCAATTTGCCATTTAAACGTTTTAAGGTGGGGTAACCACCGAGCCGGGGTTGCGGTCATGTTAAATTAAAAGTGCGCCAACAACGTCACCCCAGGATCCCGGGGTTTTAAAATAGTATGTAGACGTGGTCACCAACCTGGATTCTCCACCCTCGTGTGAACAGATCCCTAAGGTGGTATACGGCGTTCTTATTCACCAGATTATTCTCTGGTTTCCCAAGGATGTGCCCTTAAAAGAGGGCTGTTAATGTTACATAATCTAAAATTAGCTGGACTTGTCTTACCCTCTCAAGGACTCCAAGTCGTCGCTCGAAATTAAGTCTAGCCTATTGGTGCTTAGGATTATCTATAGCAACGGGTGGCAAAGCTCTATATATTGTATTATTGATCAAGCCTCTAGGTTAATCTTCACCCTTCACGTCTATATGTATTTTGATCAGGACGAAGTCATTCGATAACGCAAAAGCCTGATGCTTGTTCAGCTTATAAGCATATTGCCACTCGTAGGCTTTAACTCTCATGGTTTAATTTTGATATTTCACACGTATTAATGTCAGCACTAAGATTTTGGTACACACGCGTGCTTTAAATTCCTTTAACGGTTAGTGGTAGTTTTTTTTTTTTCTGATGTCGAGATGGAGTAAGTCATGCCTATTCAAGCAAACTAAATTTAGGCAATGAAAAGACTTCCACGAAAGAGCGCGGAGTGAAACTGGTATGTGAGATGGGTCCGTGTTCTAAGTCCACCATGTTTAAATTTGGGACCATAAATGACTGACGCTATATACCCTAGCAACTTGTTACCTTAACAAACAAAGCATCATAAACGTGTCGTAATTCCAATTCGAAACAATAGGCATTAGGCAGGTTTTTACTTAATACATAAGTAAAGCGCATCTAGTCAATGCATTTTCGGTCGCGGTCATTCCATTTCGCAAAGTACATATGTGTCTCCCAACAGTAGGAAGAAATTTGAATAATTCGTCTACTTGGCGTGGAATATCAAGGCAGCTTTTCGTATCGAAGTTTCTGACGCATATCGCACGGATTCGCGAAGGCTTTCAGGTCATATAGACAGCAAAGGGGGCTCACATTATTTTACGTCTTTAACCAGTGAGAGCAAAATAAAGTGAACGACAAAAAAAGAATTAAAAAGACAAGAATTATGAGGAAAATGCATATTTCAATTGATCGTCATCAAGTGACCATAGACATGTCATTGTTTTCCGTATTGAACTAAAGCTTGCGTTACCACATCACATCGCATGATTGTATTAAATGCCGTAAGTCGTGCAGTCACGGTTACAAGAAAGATGCATAGTTAAATTTCAATGAGTACAAGGCATGTCGATATTTTCCATACTGTTAACTTCTAGATCACCTTAAGCCACACTTGTGGGTTGAAGACTGTTCAATTTCCTCATTATATTTCGGAATTTTGGGCAATTCGCCAACAACAGCTTAAGGAACCTAAAACATTCAATGTGGTAAAAGCAAATCATGCGCGCAATATGTATTGTTCATCATAGTCTCTCAATGTTAGAAAGGTGTTCGATAACTAAAACTTTACGTCTTCACTGTCTTGTGGTTAACTTGCCAATGAGGTGATTAATTTGATATTTTTCTTTTTTCGAATTTCTGAAATTCACACCAGTCACGAGGCTTCTTATCTATTTAGATGTACTGCTTCGGTAAGCACAAATTAGTATTGAGTTCGAGATACTCATGTATTCAAAATACACGCAAAAGAAGCTTTTTAATTCCCTCTACAACATGTGAAATGAAATACCCCAATCAACTATGCAGATAGAATACACTCGATTACCAAAACCATATGCAGCTAGATGACAGGGGTTACAAAGGACCCACTGTTCCTTACAAATTATGGCTGCAGAATAAGCATTGTGCGTGCTACCTCTTTCGCAACCTGAATTTATCAATCTGGCGGGAATACCCGAATTTATAACTGACGTAATGTATCCAAGCAGACGTAGTTCAGATGAATTAGCGAACAAATGACAAAGTCTCCAAATTACAAACCTTTTGTTAAAGTACAATCTGCGCAGTAGCAAGCAGTGGCTTGACCCGCCGATTTATATCTGTACAGTAGCCTTTTTTCTTTCCTAAGCGATTGCTTAGGTCTTTTTTTTCATATCCAAGCTTGTTATCTCGACGTAGCAATGACTAATAGTAATGCAAGGAGTTTTCTTCGCGCGCTTCAGTTAGGTGATTAACTAAAGCTTTCAGGCATTTCAGTGCTCTGTTTACATTATTTACCAATTCTATAGTGGGGGGGGGGAGGGGGTACTCTAAGACGAAGATTCCATGCACGTTCTTTTAGTCTTTGCATGGGGGGCTTCCTCGTGCGAGGAGAGGATGTGGTTATGCGTTCATTCACAACGGCCTAACCACAACTTTCATTTCCTTTCGGCATTGACAAAGCGGTAGGCCATTACTTTATATTGAATTTGTGGTTAACTAGAAGCATATCTGCGTGAACTCGGGCTTTCAATATCGCACATCTGGAGTTTAGGGGACTGCCATACTGCCATTGTTACTGCCCTTACGCAATTTCATCATTGCCGGTCACGAATAAGTCTACTTGTGTTTATTTTTGTCTGCTAGAGTGTAATGAATGTTGTTATGGTACTAGACAACAATCCAAATAATATATTACCATATGGTAGTAGTTCCTGTAAATGCCAAAGGTTGAAATTCAAGTACTTTTCATTGACTTTGAAGGTCAAGTTTTAGAAAATTGAAGGACCACTTTTGGAAAGGTTTGCATAAGCAATATTAAAATGATTTAATATTATTTCTCAGCTT